CATTGTTTTGTTCAGCACTGTGCTGTTCTACAACAATGTTCCAACAATTCCTTTTCGTTGGAAGACTAACAGGTTTCAGGCACACCCAAGAATGTCTTTTAATAAGTTGAAGGTCCTCCAAGAGCAGCACGTTTGTCATTGCTCTTCCCTGGGAACAGCCCTGTGTCATGGAGCTGCTCCTGATGAACCTTGATACATCAGGCTGATGTACAGATGTTGATTGTGATCATATCTGACAGGAAGATCTTTGATAGAAGTTTCAAATGTTTACCAACACCAGTACATATTTGACCCAATTGGTGGTGATTTCTGTCTGAATTTTTAATTAACAATTACCTTGGTGTGTTTTTTCCAAAAAGATATTATTCATCAAATTTGTAAAAAAGAACATTGGATAAGAACTTAAATTTGTTCTGCTCACCATTCTCTTCTCGACACCAAACCCTGCCCACCACCCCCACCAACAACCTCAAAATATTATCTTGAACCAGGGAACCAGTCTTCCCTTGGATCTGATCACATTGCAGTTCAGGTTACTCATCTGCATTCCTGAGAGAGCATAGCTGGCTTTGCTTACTTTACTTTTATTTTAAGTAGACCTTATTACCCATTTACCTCCCTTAAATTGTCCAGCTTTCCTGACTGTCTCAATTCCCTAAATTTAATCTGCATATAGAAACTCAATAGTTTCTTAGTTAATACAAATAATGTTAGATAAACTGATTCTCTTCTCTCATCTGTGATTATAGCATGTTTTCAGCTTTGAATTCAGCAAAATTATCTTGCACTGACTGATTCATGTGGGAACCATGCGATAATCTAGGTTACGCAAGTAAATGGACGTCCTGTGGCTCAACACCACACTGCACTTTGTTTTATTTTATGTTTTACAAGAAATGTGCTAACAGATGCCTTTTCTAATTAAGCACTTGTCCTGCTGATTTACTGGAGAATTCCCTCTTCCAAATATTATAACATTCTTAATTCTTAGTTATCTAAAAATTTATCTTGGGCATGCTAAACTGCTAAACATCCATGGCCTCCCTGAAAGTTTGAGTTCACAACCTACTGAATGAAGAAAATGATCTCATCACTGTTGTAAATGCTGACTTCTTTATCTGGAGACTATATCCCCTAGTTTTGGACTCTGCAGTCAGAGAAATATCCTTTTCATTGTCTACCCTGTCGAGCTCTCTTTTTAGACCCTTCATATTTGATTTGATTTATTATTGTCATGTGTATACCAAGATACAGTGAAAAGTATTGTTTTACATGCTGTCCAGACAAATCATGCCTTGCATAAGAACATCAGGGTAATACAACAGAATGCAGAATATAGCGTTACAGCTACAGAGAAGGTGCAGTAAAAGATCAACTCTAATATAAAGTCCATTCATAAGTCTGATAACACAGGGAAGAAGCTGTTCTTAAATCTGCTGGTATGTGTTTTCAAATTTTGTATCTTCTCCCCAAAGGAAAAGTGGAAGAGTGTATAACTGGGGTGGGTGGGGTCTTTGTTTATGATGGCTGCTTTCTTGAGGCAGCGGGAAGTGTAAATGGAGTCGAGGGAAGGAAGGCTGGTTTTCGTAATGGATTGGGCTGCTTTCATAACTCTAATTTTGTAGCAATCTTGGGCAGAGCAGTTGCCATATCAAGCTGTGCTGCATCCAGATAGGATACTTTCTGTGGTGTATCTATAAAAATTAGTAAGGGTCATTATGGACATGCTGAACTTCCTTAGCCTTCTGAGGAAGTAGAGGCGTTGGTCTGCTTTCTTGACTGTAGCGTCAGTGTGGATAGACGAGGACAGATTGGTGATATTTACTCCCAGGAAAATGAAGCTGTCGAGCACCTCCACATCAGTGTACCAATACAGATGGGGGCATGTCCTCTGCTCTGCTTTCTGAAGTCAATGACCAGCTCTTTCATTTTGCTGACATTGAGAAAGAGGTTGTCTTTACACCATGGTTCTACGTTCTCTATCTCTTTCCTGAACTCTCTTGTCATTGTTTGCGATCCAACCCACTATGGTGGTGTCATCAGTAAATTTCTAAATGGAGTTAGAGCTGAATTTGGCCGCACAGTTGAGTGTATAAGGAGTATAGTAAAGGGCTGAGTATGCAGCCTTGTGGGGCACTGGTGTTGAGAATTATTGCAGAGGAGGTATTGTTGCCTATCATTACTGAATGCAGTCTGTAGGTCGGGAAGTCGAGGATCCCGTTGCAGAGGAGGGAGTAGAGACCTAGGTATCAGAGTTTAGAAATGAGTTTTGTTGGAATTATGGTGTTGAAGGCAGAGCTAAAGTCAATAAGTGGGAGTCTGATGTAGGTGTCCTTGTTATCCAGATGTTCCATGGATGAGTGTAGGGCCAGGAGGATGGTTTTGCAGTGGAAGAATGAGAGTATCTCTCCAGAAACTAAAAGGCTGATTTGTTCATCTGCTCTTCACCCAAAGGAATCTGGAATGGTTTTCTGCGTTGTAGTGGAACTGAAAAAAAGCCTTGAATTATTTTGGATGTTGAGAGATAACAATACATTAGATGAGCTAACCCTCTCTGTGCTTGTTTTGTGATCATAGCCTATCTTCTGGTATGAATTTTTGAACAAAATTTTTGAACTCTCCTAGGAGAGTCATTTGGTAGTCCAGGTTACAAAAATTCCTACAAAAGTAATGTACATAGCGTGGCTCATTAGCATGCTGTACATTGAAGTATGTAATGTAATCTGCTTTTAATTCTGAAATTTAGGATCAACGCTGTCTCTAATGGACAGGTCCGAGGGGATGGATACAGTGATGGCTGTTTGGGAAGAATAGGTAAGAATGCTTCAAGCTATTTACTTAGTAGTTACTATTATTTGAGCAATGTTGAGGAATAGTGATCTAACAGTAATATCAAAGACAGAACTGATGAGAACATGTCTGGTGTATTGCCAATGGGGATGCAAGTTAAAAATACAAAGAATTAAACCAGGTGTAGAGCTGGATGAACACAGCAGGCCGAGCAGGAAAGCTGACGTTTTGGGTCTGGACCCCTTTCCCTGAAGAAGGGTCCAGACCCGAAACATCAGCTTTCCTGCTCCTCTGATGCTGTTTGGCCTGCTGTGTTCATCCAGCTCTACACCTTGTCATCTCAGATTCTCCAGCATCGGCAGTTCATACTATCTCTGAAAGAATTAAACCAGCTTTCTTGAAAAAATCTTCAGTGCTGTGAAGAGTATAACTATATTTTTATTCATTCATTTTTATTCACTTTTTTATTCATTCATGGGATACACACAACAGCAAAGGTCAGCATTTGTTGCTTATCCCATATTGCTTTTGTGAAGGTGATGAGCCATTTGCTGTAAATTTGAGGTTCTTGTGTAGGTGGTGTTGGAGAGGGAGTTCCAGGATCTTGATCCAATGACACTGAAGGAACCACAATGTTTCCAAATCAGAATAGTGTCTGATTTGAAGGGAAACTTCCAGTTGATGCTGTTCCCATGCACCTGCTGCTCATGTCCTCCTAGATGGCAAAGGTCATGAATTTGGAAGCACCCTAATCTGGCAGTTTGAACTATTGTGTAGTGTTCAGATTTATGTTCCGTTGTACTTCGTCTAAACATTGCTGTCAACTGGAGTTGATAACTAGAGAGATGATACACTTTCTCAGGGTTGAACAGTGGGAAATGTCTCCATTCAGTCATCTTAAGTAATGGCTTGAGCACAGGTTGGTCAACTAGAAAGGGCATGTTCGGCTTGGTGTTGGGTGGGGAAGGGCAAGACTAAAACAGAAAAAGTAATAGATTTTGAGAATTTTATTTCACATGGAGTCATTTGAAATGAAAAAGAGAATAGAGTGTAACAATAAGAATTGTCAAAAATAAATTATGGTTTCTGCCTCTAGGTTTTGGGTTCTAGCTTATTTGTGGGTTGTCATTCAATGAAACAGTCAGCAAGATGCAGACTACAAACTAGAGTGAAATGACAAGTGAATATAAAAATGTTCATTTCACTAGAACGTATAGTGTGGTGCATTGCTGGTATCACACCAGGCTAACTATTGTTGTTTTGTGTTTCACGTTCTGTGTAAGTGACACTCTTGGGTGGTTAAAATCATTCCTGTCCTAAGTTACTAGTCATGTTGAAAGTGAACTATGTTTTGTTAGTCACTGAAGAAGCCGCAGAATTTTATTTTTGTTGTTTCATTTTTATTTGCAAATTTGGTTTTGCAAGTTGTTTCCTTCTCGACCTGAGTTATGCACCTCTCTCTGGCTCTGACTCTTTGGGTGCTCATTACACTTGCAGGATTAAAATGGAAGGAGGTGCACGTGAGCAAGCTAGTTTCCTCCTCATTCTGTCTTGTGGCCCCTTGGATCAATTTGTGCCTCTGCATCAACAAAGCTGAAGTTGATAACTTGG